AAATAGTAAGCTATAACTAGTTATCGACTATAGACGCCTAAACGATATTATAATAAAGGACCGAATACTATTACCGCTTATATTAAAACTATAAGATCGACTATATAGTAAAAAATAGTTTATAGCCCTTAACCTTAAAGGCGCCTATAACTTAATATATATAAAAAAAGGACGCGAATAGATAATAGCCTTTAAAACGAAATTTAGACTATTTAAATATCTAGTAATACTATTTAGACTTATAAATATACTAGCTACCTTTTAATAGATAATTAATAATATCCTACGCGAATACTTAGATATCTTTATAGTAGTATACTTAGATAATATCCTAATCTTCTTAGATACCTTAGAAGAATATAAGGAATATATCTATAAGGTACTCTACGTACTTTAGAATATAAAGTTACTAGTTAAACTAAAGAAAAGTAAGTTTTATATATAAGAAGTAAACTTCCTTAGATATATAATCTTACTAAGAAAGATATAAATATAATAAGATAAGATTAACTTAGTTAAAGAATAGCTAACGCTAAAGAACGTTAAAGATATATAAAGTTTCCTAGGATTTATAAATTACTACTAATAATTTATTAAAGATTTTAGAAAGATTATAATACTATAATACGACTTAATAAAAAAAGAAAAAGAATTTATATAGGACGATAAAGCTAGCGAAGCTTTTAAATATATTAAAACTATAATTATATAAGAACTAGTCTTAACTACCTTTAATCTAAAATAATAAATTAAACTTAAAACTAATATATTAAACTTTACTCTAAGAGTATAAATTAAATAAAAAGATAATAAAGGAAGACTACGATTAATTATATTTTACTTAAAAAAGCTATATAGCGTAGAACTTAATTACCTTATCTATAATAAAGAATTCCTTATAATTATTTAAGCTTTTAAGGAATTTCGATACTACCTTCTTAAAAGTAAATATAAAGTTAAGGTTTATATAGATTATAAGAATATCTTATACTTTATAATAATATAATAGTTAAATAGATAATAGATCTAATAGGCCGAATACTTATTAGAATTCGACTATAAAATAATCTATAGAAAAGGAATAGAAAACGGTTAAGCTAATACCCTTAGTTAATAAAGTAACTATAATATAAGAGTACCTATAGCGAAAGGATAGCTCCTAGAAATTAGCGAAAACGGGAACTACTAGTAATAATAGCTAAATATAATATTTAAAGTATAACCTAACGATTCGATATACTAAAAGATCCTAAAATAAATAAAAGAATATAAAGTACTAAAGGGATATAATATAGAATATTTAGAAGTTTTAATATATAAAAATAAAATCTAGATATTACTAGAATTATAAGATAAAGTTATATAAGATATATATAAATATCTAATATATAGATACTAAGGAATCCTTAGAATAATAAAATAAATTAAACGATAATATAACTTCCTATCGCTTAAGGAAGTAGTACGATACGTTATTAAAAAATATAAACTTTATATATAAAGTAAAGCTAAATAATATAAGCTATATAGAGAATTATAACCGCTATTAGTACTAGAGAAACTATAAGATTTAATAGCTTTTAATTATATTATAAAGCTACTACTATTAAAAGAACCTATAACTAACGTTAAGTATAATAGTATATTTATTATTACCGACTAATTAATAAAGTATAGATACTTCTTACTATATAAAGAAGTAAGTAATATAGAAGAGCTAGTATATATATTCCTATAAATAATTATTAGTAATTATAGACTACTAAATAAGATTATCTTTAATAAAAGAAGTATATTTATAGCTAAGTTTTAATAAGCTCTTATAGTATAATTAAGAACGAAATATAAGCTTAGTATAGCTTATTACCTATAAATAGATAGATAAATAGAACGACTTAATTAAACGCTTAAATAATATTTACGATACTATATTAGCTACGAATAAAACGATTAAGTTAAATAGCTATTAATAGCGTAACTAGCTTATTATAGCTTAGTTATAGAAATAACTAAGCTCTTACTAGTATACGCTAATTAAAGATATAACTTAGAAGTATTTAAGGTTACTTAATAAGGACTATAAGTAGAACGCGCGATACTATAAGTAGATTAGCTATAAATATTATATAAAGAAATATAATAAGAACTTTAATTTATTAGAAAATAAATATCTACTTACTATAATTAGAAAAGATTATAAGGATTAATCTTTTAAGAGGGAGATATAGTCTACCTTATATAACGAAATATTAAAATAAAACGACTAAGTAATAAATTAGATTTTAAGAAACTTAAACCGTTTAAAGTTAAGAAAACTATTTTAAAAGTTAACTATAAACTTTTACTACTAATAATAATATAGATATACCTAATATTTTATATCTTATTATTAGATCTAATACTATAAAACGCTAAACTATAAGATAAAATCGAAGTTAATAATAATTAAGAATATAAAGCCGAATAAATACTAAATATAAGAAAATAAGGTTAATAATAGGAATACCTTATTAAGTAAAAGGGATATAGACTAGAAGAAAATACCTAGGAATTACTTAAGCACTTAACCTACTATAGTTCTCTACTTCGATAGTTCTACTAGCAAAATCTACCCTAGGTATTATAAAATCGCCTAATAAACTAATAGTATTCTAATTAATTATATTAAATCTACTTATAAATTAAATATCGACTACCGCTTTAGATTCTTAGCGCTTAGCCTTATTAAGGTTATCTAAGGAATAAAGGCCCTAATAGACTATCTTAGTACCCTTTATTTTTAGCTAGCGCTTTTAACTATAAAGCCGCGCTAAATAAGCTAAGGCTTTATTTAGGTCGGCTTAAGCTTTTAATATTCGCTCCTTAGCAATTTCTTCTTCTTTATCTAATCGATTAGACTCTAGATTTATTCGGGATACTAGGAAATACGTTAGCTATAAATAATAAGTAAAATAATAAAGTTACCTATAAGAGCTAATCGCTACGCTTAACGTATTATAGGAACGACCCCGCTATATATATTCGGTATATTTAGAAGATTTCTCTAGTATTTTATAGCGGAAGCCGCGCAACGAATAAAAAGAATATAGTATAACGTCGAACCTAAGCGATTAATAGACTTAGCTAAATAAATACGCTTAAGGGTCTTACGCCAACGATCCTTTAATACGCGACTAGATATACTATTAGTAGTATATCTTAAGGGATAGAAAGGATAAACGGGGAATATATATACGCGCGATAAGGGTATATTTATATATAGCGGCTAAGGTAGTAATAGGTCTTACGGATAAGACTAAAAGGAGGGGAGACATCGTGTTACGACTATAGTTAGCGGGCTATAGGAGAGCCGGCTACGTTTACGTAATAAGGCGGCTCGGAATAATAGTTAGGACGAGAAGTTACTTAGGCTTAGCTTACCTAGAGCGTACGTAAGCTAAGTAAGCCTTATATAGATAGATTACTACTTAAGAGTATAGCTTATAAGTAAGCTATAGTAAGCTATAAAGGGGATTATAGCTAAGACCGTAATCTAAGGATAGTCTCTATAGGTATATATAGCTACTTACTTTTACTCCTTTAGATAAATAGCTTTCTAGCTTTTAATATAGATCTTTATTATAATTCTATCTCTAATTCTAATTACCTAGTTATAGTCTATAGTCTATAACCTCCGACTTATTATTAACGTAATATACTTATTATTACTTAGACCACGCCCTATTATATCTACTAATATAAACCCCTTAATAGGTTTATCCCTTAGGAATAATACCGGTCGTTATAGATACTAGCTTTAATCGTTAACGCGATTTATTAGAATTATAAGAATAAGATTTTTAAATATAACTAAATATACTATTAATAGTATATCCTAAAAAGATAAAAGAATAAAGAACGGTATACTTATATATAATATAATAAAGGTATATTTATATATAGCGGCTAAGGTAGTAGGTCTTAAGGGTAAGACTAAAAGAAAGGGAGGCATCCTATTACGACTATAGTCTAGTAAACCGCGGGGACTAGTATATATTACGAGGATATATAACGTAGGGAGCAAGGAATATTAAATAGACCGATAGGCTAATTAAGTTTAGAGCAATAGGTTACTCTAGCGCTCTAACGCTCTATAGCTAGGATCGTAGGATCGCTCTAGCGCTCTAGCGCTCTTAAGCTATAGGATCACCTAGTACTCTCGGCGATCTAGGGAAGCTCTCGAAATATATAAGGAAGGAACGGAATACTTCTTTAAATAGATAGCTCGATAGCTTTTAATATAGATCTTTATTACGATTCTATCTCTAATTTTAATTACCTAGTTATAGTCTATAGTCTATAACCTCTAACTTATTACTAATATAATATACTTATTATTGCTTAGACCACGCCCTATTATATCTACTAGTATAAACCCCTCGATAGGTTTATCCCTTAGGAATAACACCGGTCGTTATACCCCTCCCCCCGATGTAGGTTAGGATGCCTATCTTTCGCAACCCCAATTCTCGTAGATCCGTCTCGTTTCTACAGCCAAATTCTTAAGTCTCTGCATTCCATTAACTATGGCCTGATCCAGCCCATTTCCAATAAGATCATGATGTCTCACAGGACTAAGAAGCTTGATGCCCTCAAGCGGGGTGCACTTGGGCAGTTGCACATAGAGGCTCGTAAAATCGCATTTAGAGTGTTCGCCATTGGTCACGCGATTTCCACGCAGCTCCAAGGGTACTTCTGCTAACGTTTTACCCTGGGCCATGTAGTCAGTGAGGACGAACGCTGGCGCTTCCCAGAAAATAGGGCAATAACAACGACAATAACGAAGACTTCGAAAGCGGTGTCGATATTAAGGCTGACAACCCGAGGGCTCGGCCCCGTATAAGCTTGAAAGCTCTCGCAGGACAGCCTCGCACGAACCGGCAAGAATGCAGAAATTTGCTTCCAGTCACCATGTTGAAAGGATTGTTGGCGACGCAAAGCCGACTGTCCCGGACCAGACTCTAGCCAATGGCAGAGAAAGCCCTTGTAAAATCCCCCTTTGCGTGATCCTGCATTTTCTCCATCTGCTTCCTATATCCCGGCGACGCACCATCGACTCCATTCTGAACCATCTTGTTCGTCGCCACTTCTAGAGTTTTGAGGACGCCAAAGATGACGGCAGTGCCAAGGGGCAGCTTGGTGAATTTTGTCTTCGAGTTGACAACGGTATCAATAATGTGGTCCAGGCTGTCAAGGGCTTTCTGTGCAGACGTCATGATTTGCTTGTCGTCATTTCCGGTTCGATTCCCCAAGCGCTGGAGTGTAGTGGCGGTGCTGCCAATGTCTGTCAACAGCCGCTGTGCCTGAAAGCCGACGGAGATAATGCCAAGAGGGAACCCGTTCCAGTTTTGAAGGCCCCTGTCCAAGCTATTGGTGGCTGATTGGACGCTGTCCAGAGCAGCGGCGCCTCCTGGAAACGCCGCCGCAATGGAAGGCAGACAGGCGGCAAGGGTAATGCGCCCAAGGAGCATGCTTGAGATTTGGTCTTTTGGCAAATCACTCTGGCGAGATTGAAGAATCTTCGGCTTGAAAGGCAATAGAATTCAGGGACGAGAAGAGAAAAAGCATAGGTAGGTAGTTGCTTAAGTATGTGGCGAAAAGCGGCGTCTTGGCGTCACCACGACGTGACATTCGCGCACTATGTTGACTAAAGAGCAGGAGTGTGGCAGCCAAAACCCATCCGTCTACGTCACCGTTAATCCTGTCCTGCTATTGACTCGTCGTTTGTGTTCTCGTCGCGAGTTGATCGCAAGAAATCGAGGGAAGGGGGGAGATTACCGAGACACGGCAGTGAGAATTTGTCTGGGCGAAATACGAAATATTCACCACCGCCCTTGTATTATTCTGCGTAAAACCATCGCGTCGCGATTGGCAGAACCGACACTCACCGTGCCGTCTTTTCCCGCTAGAGAGCTGAGGCATCCTTATGCGTGAATCCAATGGAATGCATCACATATCAAGGGTCAGGTCCCTTGTAAGCAATCCTCCGACCATTTTGACTATTCGAAGCAGCTGCCACTCCCGACCGGCATCTCCCCATGGTACGCACAGCGCTCTGGGCCTCAGCAGACTTGGAGGTATTGCCGGTTATCTTATATCGTCCACCTATACATTTAATCCATGGCAACCCGCGAGGAGCAAGCCAAGAAAGGCACGAGACCATTGTCTTCAAACCATGTCGATTGGTACCAGGAGCAAGTGGTTCTCTTGACGGGCGGAACGGGCAGCCTCGGCAGTTGTCTGCTCTACAAACTCGCGCTGCAGTTGCCTGCTGCCAAGATTTACGTCCTCTGTCGCGGGACAGTCAATGAGGCGGTTCAGAAATGGGAGTTCTACATGGCAGAGCAAATCGACGACATCCTGGATTCCGGAAAGGTCCACTGCATCCGGGGCAACCTGAACCGGGATGGCTTCGGTCTCGATCCGGACGACCTGAAACGCCTGCAAGAAGAGGTGACAGTCGTTATTCACGCGGCGGCCGACATTTCCCTTGCCCAGAGCCTTCCCGATTCCATTCAGAGCGATTGCCTACCCGTTATCCGCATCGCCAGTCTCGTGCAGAGCTTCAAAGCCGTCAAGCTGTTCGCGCACATCTCTTCGACGTTTGCACAGATGCACCTATCGGCCGGCGTGGTGCCCGAGAGGATCGTCAAGGTTGCCGACGATGAACCTCCTCCGCAGACGCAACTGGCCTCCATCCTCAGGACGGGAAAGTCGCCATACGCCCATCACTTCATCACGCCATATGCGCAGGCAAAGTACCTTGCAGAGCAGCTTCTCATGGAGTACCATGACAGCTTCCCGATACTGATAGTCCGGCCCTCCAGCATCTCGCCAGCAGTCAGCGACCCGTTTCCGCAGTATGGTCCGGACGGGGCCATCCCGCTGCACACTTTCGTCACATTGGCTCTTGCACGGGGATACGACGTGCTGGAAATCATCAACGGCCTCCCACAAGAATTCATCTTGGATGAGATACCCGTTGACCTCGTTGCCAACACCTGTCTCCTCCACGTGGCAGCCGGCACAACTGGTGTTGTCCACGCGGCTGCACAGCTCTACGAAACTCTTACTGTTGCCGAATACGTCTCCAGAGCACGGAAATATGCACCGAAGGATGTGGTGGAGCGAATAGCTGCGAATGGTACGAAGCAGGGGCAACCCCGCCAGCTGCCGTTGGATTTCCATGGGCTGCTAATGGAAGAATGGCGGGATTGGATATTTGACTGTCAACGTTCCAAGCACCTAAAGAATACGCCGGGCCCTATCGGTCTTCAATGCACTCATGTCTGTGAGGAGGTCTTTCGCGAGCGAGTGGAACGATGGTCAAAACGGCTGGGCGTTTTGTTGTGAATCAGTGGCAGAGAGGACGGCCTTGGGGATGACCCGATCCAGAGATGGTATGTAACTATACTCCAGGTACAAATCTTAACTAGTAGCAATTTCTTGGCCGAGTATACTCTATACCAGGTGAACAGAACACAGCTCGGCTGATCGAGGTTGGCTAGCTGTGTGCTCAATGCTCATCTTAGTGGAATGAGGTGATGATTCCGGGCCGCAGTACTTCTCCTATTTCAAGCTTGCCCCTTCTTAGGAAGGTCTTAAACCTGAGGGAAGGGTGTCCCGGCTGTTTACATTGCGGAATGTGGCTGCTGCGGAACGGATTTGATGGCGCAGAGCGGCTGATGCAACTTGAGACACTTCGAGACTTCCACCCTTGCTCAACCATGGGTAAGCAGCGTAACCTAATGAGCATCTACTGTGGCATCCCGCTTCATATATGAAAGGGCTTATGGCTCCTCGAACAACGTTGCCATATCTTTTCAATCTTTCGCTTATCTACGCAAGCGGATGTTTCGAGTGTTATTGCGGCTGCTCCAAGTCTTTATTCTTCAGTGGGCAGCACACCACACCCATCGTGCAAATGACTGAGACAGAGCTGTTTGGAGCTATGAGCTCACAGACAGCGGAGCGCGGTAAGAGTGTGACCACGGAGCCATGCACTCAACCAACGCCATCAGGGCATGGGTATCATCACTCAACATACGGCGTGCAATCGCCAAAGTCTGCCGCCACCAAAAATGGGCTCGAGCATGACCAAGCTGACACTGATATTGCCATCATTGGAATGGCTGTACTGCTATCTGGAGGTATCAGGTCCACAGACAGCTTTTGGGATTTTCTCATGAAGAAGAAGGACGGGCTCTGTGAAGTCCCCGGTACGCGTTACTCAATTGACTCATTCTATGGACCCGGCAAGACCCAGTCGATCAAGGTTCGTCGAGGTTATTTTTTACAAGACGACCCGGCTCTCTTTGACGCCGACTTTTTCTCCATCAAGCCTGCGGACGCGGAAAGAATGGATCCCCAGCAGCGGCAACTGTTGGAGGTTACGTGGGAGTGTATCGAAAGTGCAGGTGAAACGGACGCAAGAGGAAGAGCCGTGGGATGTTATGTTGGAGTGTTTGGCGAGGACTGGCTCGATCTTGACAGCAAGGACCCTCAGGCCACGGACAGATATCATGTCTCGAGCACGGGGCAATTTACTCTTGCCAACAGGCTGTCATATGAGAATGACTGGCGCGGACCGAGGTAGGTCAGCCTTATAACCTCGTAGAGGCAGTGGAACTGACCTTTGTTATAGCATGACTATTCAGACGGCTTGCTCGTCCTCGCTGGTAGGCTTGCACGAAGCTAGCCAGGCCTTGCTCGCCGGCGAGTGCTCATCGGCGGTAGTCGCTGGAGTTAACCTCATCTTGAGCCCTTTCATGACCATAGGCATGTCTGATAGCAAAGTGCTCTCACCAAGTGGCGTCTGCAGAACCTTTGATGAAGCGGCCGATGGGTACGGTCGCGGAGAAGGTGTCACCGTCATCTACATCAAGCGGTTGGCCGATGCTATCAAGGCCAATGACCCCATCCGAGCCGTTATACGTGCTACTTCGACCAATTTTGACGGACGGACACCAAACGCAAGCACTCCTGGGCTGGACGGACAGGAGTCACTCATCAGACGAGCCTACCAGCGGGCCGGCATTCAGGATATAAGCCAGACAGCATTCTTTGAATGTCACGGAACAGGCACTAGGGTCGGAGACGTCATCGAAGCATCCGCCATTGCAAAGTTGCTTACCGAAGCTGGGACTGGAGCTGGAACTGTGATAGGATCCGTGAAGCCAAATGTCGGTCACACTGAGGGAGCGTCTGGAATTACGGCCGTCATCAAATCCGTTCTTTGCCTTGAGCATGACACCATCCCACCAAACATCTACTTCAAAACGCCAAATCCCAAGATTCCATTCAAAGAGGCGAACCTTCTTGTTCCAACGGAGCCCATGAGGTTTCCTCGCGGGAAGAGCAAGCGAGTGAGCATCAACTGCTTTGGTGTTGGCGGGTCAAATGCTCACGTCATAATCGACTCTGCCACGCACTTCTCCTCATTGCCGCAGACTGGACACCTTGAAAGACCGACGTCAACATTTTGCGATGGCTCCCGACTGTTGCTGCTATCCGCCAAGGACCCAGCTGCTCTGGACAGGAGACTTGATGATCTCGTCAAATACACTGAGACGAGGCTCAACGTCTTGGATGATCTCGCTTATAGCCTCTGCTGTCGACGGCAACATTTCTCCCATCGTGCATTTGCGATAGGTCACCCTAATCGACCGCTAGCCAAGTCCGAGTTTCGGAAGCTCTCAGTAAGGCCAATCGACCCCATTTGGGTGTTCACTGGGCAGGGGTCGCAGTGGGCTGCCATGGGGAAACAACTGCTGGAAAGATCTAAACAGTTTAGAGAAGATATCCAGTCGCTGGATAAATTCCTGCAGGAATTGCCCGATGCACCGGTTTGGCGTATACAAGGTTCGTGTTTGCTTGCTCTCGTCTTACTGAAGCTAACGAATGGAAGCTGAGCTTTCCAAGACTGCAACAGATGCACGCATACATGAGACAGATATTGCGCAACCACTCTGCACTGCTCTTGCAATAGGACTCGTCAACCAACTGCGCCGCTGGGGCCTGAAGCCTTCGGCAGTGGTTGGGCATTCCAGCGGCGAGATTGCGGCAGGCTATGCATCTGGAGCAATCTCGGCCAGAAGCGCCATTGTGCTTGCATACTACCGAGGTATCGTGGTCAAGCCTCAGGAGGGAAAAGGAGGCATGATTTCTGTGGGCATGGGATGGCAGGAGATAATGCCATATCTCGAAGGCGCCGGCCATGTTGCCGTAGCTTGCAAGAATAGCCCATCCAGCACAGTTCTATCGGGAGATCCCGGCGAGCTCGGGCTTGTGTACAACAGAATTAAAGACCAGCAGGCGGAAGTGGTTTGCAGGAAGCTTCGGCTGTCCGTGGCCTATCATTCATGTAGGTGCAGCAGCTTCATGCAATTCATCACATCATTGTTAACTCCTGAATAGATCAGATATCGACATCAGCCGCCGACTTTGAGCGTGTAATATCTTCTCACATTCGTCATAACACGGAAATGGTCCCTCTGTATTCAACAGTATCCTTGGCCAAGATCACGGAACCGACCGCACTTGATGCTGCATACTGGGGTCGAGGCATGGCCTCCACCGTGCAGTTTTCTGAGGCAGTTCAAACCATCTTGCAAGACGGTAATCAATCCCGAGCATTCCTGGAGATTGGACCACATTCGGCACTCTCGGGACCTCTGAGACAGATCTTTGAGAGACACAAAGCAGCACCTGGCAGGAATCCCGTCTATGTCCCAACCCTGACTCGCAACGACCCAGATCTCCAGTCCCAGCTTCTTTCCGCCTTGGGCTCGTTGCATTGTCTCGGTGTTCCAATGGACCTCTTGAGCGTCACCGGCATGGGTAGCGTACTTCCCGATCTGCCCGCGTATCCATGGAACCGGGTGAGGTATTGGCGGGAGAGCCGACTCGCCCGAGACTGGCGACTGCGTAAAGCACCACACCACGAACTGCTCGGTTCAAGAATCACTGTCATGTCTGAGCTCGAACCAGCATGGAGAAATCTTCTACGACTCGGCGATGTCCTCTGGCTCGGCGATCATGTCCTTCGCGGAAGGGTGGTGTTCCCTGTTGCTGGCTATATTGCAATGGCTGGGGCTGCTTGTGCGCAACTGCAGCTGAAAAGCACAGCCTACTCAATTCGAAACCTTGCTTTGACAGCCTTCTTGGATCTTTATCCAGGAAAACAGATTGAGATCATCACCACTCTGAAGATGGCACGATATACCGACTTGGTGGACTCGGAATGGCACTCATTCACCATCTCATCTTATGATGGGCTGGCCTGGACCAAACACTGTCATGGAGAGGTGCGCGCACGATGTGACCAGGATAGGGGACAATTTCTTCCTAGAATCAAGCCTCATGTCCGAGCTGTTGATGCACAAGAATGGTACAAGCTGATGAGGAAACATGGCTACGAGTATGGGCAGGCCTTTCGAAGGCTAGCCGACATTTCAGTCGATCCAGTCAAACCCATAGCCTCGGCAACCATACATGCTTATGGCAGTTCCCACGAATCCGATTACATTCTTCATCCGACCGACATCGACCGATGTTTGCAGCTGATGGGCGTGGCATCTGCACATGGGCTTCCCCGTCGCGTTGACTCCATGCAAGTTCCCCAGTCGATTGGGGAGATATATGTTGCCGAGAGAGCCCCCAGAATGAGATGCGAGGTCCACGGTCACGACGACGGGAGTCGCAGCTTCTCGTGGGCTGCAACAATAGCATCTGAGAACATGGATCTGGTGCTCGCTGTTAAAAGGCTACGATCTGTCCCGATTGACAAGCGCGCCGGGACTTCGGTATCTATACCCAAGACAGCCAGCCTGAGATGGGAGCCTCTCATCGACTTGCTCATGTCAAAGCCAACCATGACCAGTGTTGAAAATGATGAATGCTCAGTGGAGAGCTTAGTCGACACATTTATAACATGTTGCATCTTGGAAACCGCTCCTCGCATATTGGACCTCACGGTTGAGCAGCCTGAGATGCTCCAGTGGAAGAGCTGGATTGTCGCTCAGGATGCGAGGTTCCACACCAAATATCAAGATTCGACCACCGCATTGGAGGTCATGGGCAGTCCAGAGTGTCGACAGCACTTTATAAGGACCTTTTCCAAATTGGACGCCATAAAGACTGCCGATGAAGATTGGGACGTCTTGATCAGAGGCGCGCTGTTGATCCTTGAACACTGCCGGCAGATTATCCATGGACAATTTTCGGCGACTGAGGTTCTGTCTGGCGAAAATGTCCTGTCGAGGCATAACGAGCTACGAGACAATTCACTCCAGCAGGGGAAGCATATACTGGGTATGCTTGGTAATACGTATCCTCGGCTCCGCGTCCTCGAGATCAAGGCCGGTTCGGGCACTACGACAACAATGGCTCTTGAGGGCCTGACGACGATGGAGGGTACGCAGCTTTTCTCCTCCTACACTGTCACCGACACCTCAAACGTGGTCCTAGATGAGGCCAGGCTCAAGTTCAAAGACAACCCCGGCGGCATCACCTACAGGCTGCTGGATGTACGCCGTGATATTCGGGGCCAGGGGTTTGATCCACAAAGCTTCGACCTCATCATCGCATTTGACGTAAGCTGCAATGATCATGCTCTTGCTTGAACTAGCCTAGACGTTGCTGATTTGTATCAGTTGTCAGACATGACTTGCGGGCTTCGGGAGTCGCTTCAAAGCATACACGAACTCCTTGCCCCATCTGGATGGCTGATGACGAAAAAGGCAGACTACCTAGGTAGTTTCCCCCCGTACCACGCACTGTTTGAGTATTCTGACGTCGCTATAGCAGCATTGGCATCCAATTATGCATTTGTGAGTTAAGCTGCCTGACCTATAACCCGGAATCTTCTAAATGGCTCTTAATAGGGTATGTTACCGCAGTGTGGAATGAGCGAAGCAGGTAGGATAACCAGCAATCTGCCCGCCACGACTGAGGGATGGGAAAGCGAAATGCTTTCAGCTGGCTTCGACTTCCTAGCACCGACGTCCAGTCATTCTATATCATCGCACAGCGGTGGCTTTGCCTTCTACGCCAAACTCTCATCGAGTCGTCGTAGAGAAGACGACATCACACTCCTGACTCCCGGTTCACAAGGCGTTCTCGAGGCTAGAGTGGCCTCCGCTCTTGAAAGCAGAGGTTATAGAGTATCATGGAGCACGGTTAAGAATCCATCTGCATCAGGGCATTGCATCATCTCCCTTCTGGACCTTGGTGGACCCGCCCTCTATGACTTATCTGAAGAAGCATTCTATGACTTGAGAAACTACCTCGTCAAAGCCGAAGCTCAACACATCCTATGGCTGACTAGGGACACGCAACTCACGTGTAGCGACCCTCGGTATGGACTCTCCCACGGATTTATCCGAAGTTTACGTCGAGAAACGATGCTGGACATCTCGATATTAGAGCTGGACGATGTCAACTCGGCCGATGTCGAGCAGATTTTGAACGTCTATGAGTTTGCGACTCGGCCTGGAAAGGATGAAAATCGAACCAATTGTCAGGACACTGAGTTTTCCATATCTAACAGAACAGTCTACGTCGGCCGATACCACTGGGTCGACCCTTCGACACAACGCATCGACTTGTCATTCAGTAATGCTTCGAGGAAATTGCACCTTCCATCATACGGCTTGATGCAGAACTGTGGTTGGGCTGCACAGAGAACACATGCCCCTGTCGGCGACGAAGTTGAAGTCGACATAAGCTATGTTGGCCTCAATTTCCGCGTATGTTCGATTTCGCATATGAAACATGAAGAAATATTGGCTGACCATCATCTATGAAAAGGATATCATGATCGGCATGGGATTCGTCGGAAATAAATCACAGCTAGGCTTGGAGGCTACCGGGGTCATTCGCCGCGTAGGCCCTGATGTGTCGGGATTGCAGCCTGGTGATCGAGTTGGCGTGATAGGATCTGGCTTGTGCCAGTCAAGCACTATAACGAAGAGCAGCTCATGCTGGAAACTGCCCCAATCTCTATCCCTTCAAGATGCAGCCGCAATGCTGGTCCCATACCTAACAGCCATGCATTCACTCATACACCTTGGCCGCCTTCGAAAAAACTCGGTAATTGATTCTCTTGACAGCGAGATATAATAGAGTATACTAATCCCTCCTTAGACCGTACTGATACACTCCGCTTGTGGAGGTGTTGGCTTGGCAGCTATGCAAATATCTCAAGCAATGGGGGCCAAGGTATCCCCTGTGTCCACCTGATTCTTTCCGAAGGGCGCTGGTTAACATGTATAGATTTACGCAACGGTGGGTAGTGAAGAGAAGGCAGAGTACCTGAGCAAGCATTTTTCACTTCCTCGTAACCACATCTTCAATTCTCGAGACGACTCATTTGTGGCTGGGTTAATGGCCGAGACCGACGGCAGAGGCGCTGACATCGTTCTCAACTCTCTGGCTGGCAAACTACTGCACGCTTCTTGGGAGTGCGTTTCAAATTTCGGCACAATGGTCGAGCTCGGCAAAGTAGACATGTTGATGAACGGGGCTCTCAGCATGGCTCCGTTTGCCAAGAACCGGGCATTCTTTGGTGTGGATCTTCTTCAGCTCGGCGAGGAACGTCCAGATCTTCTCAGGAGGTGCGCATTATGAGGCCGTGGATATATGCTTATGGTATAATCGTGCTGACGAATCTATAGTTTGCTTGACGAGATCCTCAACCGGTACGAAGCCGGGAAACTTGGAGCCTCTCTTCCTGTACTTATATACGCTGCCACCGATGCTATGGACGCCTTCCGACACATGCAGAAAGGAGTACACATCGGTAAGTTGCTGTTGAGGATACCTGAGGACCCTAGCCGGCTTCCTGCGTCGCCTACTACGACCACCTTCACTTTCTCTCCCAATGCCTCCTACATCATAGCTGGCGGGCTAGGGGGCCTTGGTCGGGCAGTTTCGAACTGGATGGCGGAACATGGCGCGACAGAACTGGTGTATCTCTCTCGCTCTGCTGGTCACACACAAGACGAGCAAGGCTTCTTGCAGGAACTGATTGCACAGGGTTGCAAAGCAGTGTGCATTGCGGGCAGTGTGGCAGAGTTACAGGATGTGAAGCGCGCCATCAAGGCGTGTACCAATCCCCTGCGTGGTATCCTGCATATATCCGGGGTCCTTCAAGTGAGTAGCGCAAACATGTACCGCCTTCTTATACAACCAAAGACTGACATGTACTGAACAGGATCGTACATACGGCAATATGGCCTACGATGAATGGACAGACTGCTTAGCGCCAAAGGTTCAAGGAGCTTGGAATATCCACGAGGCAATCCCCGACGACCTCCTGCTTGACTTCTTTGTGGTCTTCGGTTCTCTGGCTGGCGTCTGCGGAAACAGTGGTCAGACCAACTACGCAGCGGCAAACACTTTTCTCGAGTGCTTTGTGCGTTACCGCCGTCAGCTGGGATTGCCTTGCTCAATACTGAATCTTGGCCCGGTAGAAGATGTCGGAATGTTGAGCCGGGACGTCAAACTCCTCCAAGCCTTTCGATCCACTTCCAGCCACCTTTTATCTGAAAAGGAGGTTATGGAAGGGTTGCAGCTCGCAATATGTCAGTCCTTGATCACTGAGCGGTCCAACATCGCAGACACCAAGGCGCTGCCAGCAACTCGTCGTCATCGTCGGGGATAGTCAATATTGGTCTCAGCATGACGAAAGAACCATCAAAATCACATATATGTGCGCCATGGGCCAACGAAGCCCGTTTCGCCATATACTCCAACCTGGAACCGAACTCGGAGGCTAAGCCCCAAGTTGTGGACGACAAATTCAGAATGTTCGTCGACAAGATGGAGAAAGATCCTTCAATCCTGAATGAGCCGGAAACTGAGCTCTTGGTCCGCCGTGAACTGGGTCGACTGATTACTGGTTACCTCGGGGCTGCGCAAAACTATAATGAAGAGGAGATTGCAAACATTGTCATAGACTCACTCATGGCCATTGAGATCAAGGACTGGGTAAGGGGGAACATGAACATGGACATTGGTATGGATCAAACATCGAGGGCGAAGACGATTGGAGAGCTGGCAACGCACACGGTTGAGCGCCTCCGTGTCAAGTATAATGTGGAGGCTAAATAGCCTAT